CTAGTATATTCCACTGTGGTCTATTCACCCCAGCTAGCCGGGATGGTCTCTTCCTTCTAGATCTGCTCAAACAGAGAATTCAGTACTTTTTGGAGAACCTCCCCACCATTCCTAAATAACAAATGTTTAAGAAAATCCGGGCCGACAACTAGAAAGCGATTGAGTGCTGTGATCACGTTTTGGACCTCAGCCTCCGATGAAGCCTTTGAATTAAACCGGCATTCATCATCATCATTATACACGCTAGCTGCAGGTGAAAAACACCTCAGCTATTGTGCCGCAATACAAAAGACAAGAATCAAAAGCAAAAGAGGCACACTGACTGATGCCCCAGTAACGGATGGACATCGTTCCGGCATTACTTAACCTGCACCACCTGAGTAAGAAAAGACTTAAGAGCTGGCATCCAACTGAGCTGCTCACGAAAGTGCTCTGCCCAACGAGCCATACGGCGCTGCTTATTATAAATTTGGGTGCAGGTTTTGTCTGTGACGCCTGATTTTCTTGGACCATTGGTGTCGGTCAGCTGCAAGAGCTTGCGATAATTGCCGACGGATCCAGACTCCTTCACTTCTTGAGATCTACTAATGGATCAGGCTTCCTTATCAGCGCACAGGCTCCGCTTTAGTTCACGTCTAATAGTCCGTCTAATTACATTGTGTTCATGGTCAGTCGGGAGTTTTCTTCCTGATTCCACCAAGTTCACCGACCTCTCGGATATCCAATAACTGGTGCGGGACGATTGATAGTGCTACAAGCAGAGGCTCTCACGTCATGCATAGCTGTCCAGATCCTATTCTACTGAAGCCCAGTGTCATTTGGGCGAGAGAGTGAAAGTTCCGTGTGCGGAGCATCCTACTAGGCTTGCCTGACCTAAGACTGGGATATCTCCTCAATTGCCACTCGAGGTAGATGCTTGCTACGCCTGCCGGTCTAGTTAATGTAAAAACAACAGCGTACCAAGGCATGATCAGAGTCGACGCTAGTATTACAGTAGGCTATCTGTAATAATTTCAAAAGGTTTTGAATACAAATCAGTTTTGGTAGAGTTCTATTATGGCAAAGTTTCGCCCTTGACATAAGAGCTTCAAATCTTTCAAAACCTTTTTAAATCATGAGATCTCAGTCGGTTCCAAGCATATTCCGGGATATTGAACGCTATTTGTAACTTATGGCAACGTGGTCTATTTAGGTCCATCGCTGACATGCTATAGAGGGATGCCAAGTGGAAATTCCGATCGAACTGTGCTTACAAGCGATGCCGCAGTAGACTCGCCGTTGTCCGCTTGTGCGGACTTAGGTTCGTTTTTACCGCCTATCTGAGCTTCTGAAAAGCTCAGAAGATATACTTGCGCATTTTAATCCCCTGCAAAAACACTGCGAAGCAGCGTGTTCAGTACGTGGTAGGTGTCCTTGGCAGAAACACAACCACAATCGGTGGGAACATAAGCGAAAACCACGAACACAGCGTCTGGGTTTGATGCTTGCTTTCTTTGCCTGATTACATCGGATAAGATCGAAACGCTTTGTGGAGTGGACCGTTTTCGGACGAGCAACGTTATCCACTTCGTGAATCAACTTTAGTTTATGTCGTTAAACGGGTTTCATACAAACGCCTATTCACTGGAGTCCAGTCAAACAACGATGACAGTCTTGGAGATAAGAGCGTTTCTCACCTCAGCACGACCAATGGTTGCCGCATTAGCGTCTGCGGATGAGTGTAACCGATAGAGAGAGGACAAGCCGAGCGCACTTAGTTCAGCATCCCCATGAGGTTCATTGATCCTAGTTTCGTACATTAAACATACGTGCGTGCGAGTGCAGCCTATTGACCTACTTGTCTTAGGGGGTGAACCTTGCATGTCGCCAGAGAAACGGGACAGCTTGGCCTTATAAGGGACTGTTTCCGACGGGCTTCCAGTGGGTGATGCGGGAAGATAGCTGCAGTTGGTACAGCTCCAGTGGCATTGCGGCTACTCTCAGTTAAACTGGAAATTATGAACTGAACGTTAGTAATGGAAATGGAGTAGGAAAAACCAGTGATAAAGGGAGGCTCCAGCGGTAGCATGTTTTCCCTTATCCGCCCTGCCGTATGCATCAGAGAAGGCGATCCTCGATAATCTGCGCGACTGCCAATGCAGAATATGGTTGCAGTTTGAAGAAGTAGTCATGGTTGTACGTGGGCTGCGATACTTCCAGGGTACCCATACCTAGACAGGAGGACGATTAGGGTCCTCAACCAATGCATTTGGTTCATAAGCCTGTCCGCAAGATTCTACATAAATGGACGCCATCCCATTTTAAACCCCCAACCTGGAGGACCAGGAGACTGAGGTTGTCTAACTTCTAACCATTGATGAAACTTGTAGGAGTAGCTGTCACTGGGTCCGGGGGTGCCACCCAGTATAGCTCAATGTATCGAAGAGGTTTGCAAACCGCTGCCCTACGTTAATGTTCAGTTACGTTGGCGACCGATATTTTCAGGAATGCAGCGAACCGCCACCTTGAATAAACTCGGATGTATCCCATCATATGGCATACGTGTCGCACCTTCTAAGTGCCAGATCTTGCACTACTACCATCAGCTCGTTGATCCCTTGACCCTTGATGATGAGGAACTTTAGCTATCTTGCTAGCTGCGGTTATTTCACGGATTGCTAGAGCTGTGATCTTCATTTCGTGACTCTTGTTTATCTTTAAGGGATTTCTCTCGATCTGAGATTACTTGAAGTGGAGGTTATTGCGTTGCGTCTCCGAAACTTCTGGATGCTCGTCCACGTATTCCGGCTGAAAGCGAATACAATGAGACTCGCAAAAATCTCAGGGCTAATCTCCATGCTAGCCTGAAGAGCGACTGCGAAGCCTGTTGTTCTCATCGGAGATGGAAACAGCAGCTGCCGTTCGTAAGCATCATAAGTTATTCCGTCTGATACGGCAAACAGATAGCAGGAGACCTGGTGTTAGCGAGACCACACGCGATTATAGTGGGCAGCCGATCCATAACTTGCCAAAACGCTTGGAGCGTTCGGCCGAACACTTTGCAAGGCAGTTTAACCGATCTGATTTATCGCTTTCTTTTACGGGCATTGATTGTCCTTTTCTCTGTGCCGTTTGCTTGGATCCGCCCTCGCGTGCAGAAGCCGAACGTGAGTCCAGACTATTGAATTTGAGTAAGGCTGCAGGGGCAGATAGAATCTCCCCAGCCCTCTTTAAATTCGGGGTACCTGCTCTTGTAGATGATTTACACGAATTACTAGTGAAACTTTAGAAACACGAAACTTTCCCAACACATTGGAGGCGCTCCATTATAGTCTCAATTTGGATCTATGTGCCTCTTGGGACTTTCTGTGCCGGAAATGTGTGCCCTATAAACACGTACACATTATCAGAGCACAGTGGCCCATAGTTCGGACTTGGTGTGAATTTGTGCAAACTTTCGCCGCCCTGCAATATCTTCAACAGTTTAAAATAGGGGTGCCTGCTGTCACCTTTCCTCTTTAACTTCGCCATTGACGAGGTCATGGAAACAGCGTTCGCTGGACGCGACCCAAAAGGTGTGGAGCTGCTTCCAGTTGACCGACTTTTTAAAAAGAAGTATGCTGATGACATTGCCTTTGTGTCAGCCCCCAAACATGCCAAGCATCACTGGACCGATTAGAACGGCCTGTCAATCGTTTTGGGCTATGCTTTGTTTCATCGAAATGTGAAGTACTTCTTCAAGATTGTCAAGGACCTACCCTGCGTTGACCCTTGTTGTTGATCAGCTAGAAGTCGTTCAGGAATTCAACTACCTGAGCAGCTATATTAGCGCCCGTGGGATCGAAGATGAGATTACGTACCGTATAGTAAAAGCTTGAGGTGCTTTTGCCGATCTCCGCGACATCACTCCAACCCTGAAGGGCTGAGTTTACAATGCAACCGTCCGTTCAACCTTCTTATATGCTTGTGAAACCTGGCGCATCAGATCGACAGACATAAATTGTCTCGTCACAATCGACCATAGCTGCCTTCGCAGTTTAGCTCATGTCTCGTGAGAGCATCGCGTGAGCAATGAGCGTGTTCGGCGTCGCGTATTTGGTGCAGGAAGAGCGAGTGAACCGCTCAGCACCATTATATGACGCACCAGGTTCCGATGGCTGGGCCAGGTGTTGCGCATGCCTGCACACGGACTCCCGCGACGTGCATTGTTTGCGCGCCGGAGGTGCGGTTGGAAGAAGACTAAGGGTGGCCAAGCGACGACTTGGCCGAGAGAAATGAAAACTCACTTCGAAGTTGGCGTCGGCTGGTGCATCACGACTCCCTGATTCAGGTCCCAAGGACAATGAACACGTATGGTTGGACACACTTGCTGATATGGCAAAGAGCCGACCGCGGTGGCGTTTGTGTTGTGAGTTTCTTTGTCCATCCTCTCCACTTTGGATTTCCCTTTTAATTACGCTGTCATACCAGATACATAATATGATATTTAACCTTATATTACTTGCTTTTTGAGTATTATTGTGTAATATTTTTAGTACCTTATCATTTTGTATTGCGGCACTTAAGCTGAGGTATGTTCCTCCCCCTCAGCTATCGTGTATTGGTGATGTTGATGATCTCTCGATCTGAAAGTTTGTGTGCATATTTTCACTATGAGGGCCATTCTCCTTTTAACCATGAGACTCGGTTCTCACAGTCTGAGTATCTTAGGTGTCTTTAAGTAACTGGTCCTCGTTTTCTGCACGACACTGCTAGTGTCTAGTGATCCGAGCGTGTCCGCAACAATGGCCTGTACAGGCGGATATTAGGCGGTAATAATCTAGTCAGGGAATGGTGGCTTCTCACCGCTGTGACACATTGAAGCCTACTTTTTCCTCCCTATCATTCTTATCCTAAAGTTAACGGTCTATCTAGCAACTTACCTTTACGCTTAAAAGTTTTCTCCTTTCATTTACCAATCCATTTGCCCCATTTTTGTGTCATTCATCTCACTTTCTACCGTCCCTTCATCTTCGTTTCAGGCACAGACCTGACAAAATGCGAAGAGGTGGCCATCAAGTTGGAGTGTGTCAAAGCGAAACACCCTCAGCTGCAAATTGAAGCGAAGATATACAAACTTATGCAGGGGGGTGGTAAGTTTACTTCGTTTAAACGTGCACAGGGCGTCGGCTATCTTTCTTCTGCCGAACACACCACTTTCTTTCACTTCCTTCACTTTTGACCTTTAGTCCCCATTGAATCCATTTTCGCCTTTCGAGTATTGATTAGCTCTGTCGTATTCCGATGACAAAACTACGTTCACATGTTGTTTGCCGCCGTATCACTTGGCTCGGTAGAAAGGATGGTCACAGACCATAGCCTTCACTTAGCAGTATCAACGCAACTGCCCGTTGCCCTTTCAAACATGTGTTGGTCGTCCGACTTACAGAACATAACTGTTTGAAAGTTCACTTCGCATCTTCCTCTCTACGTGAGCCTTAGACACTTCGCTTTGGGCGGCAGATTCAGGATCCCCGAAGCATAACGCCTTCCTCTCAAACTCACACAGACATTCAACACTCAGTTGGCAGCCTTATGCGCTCGCGTGCTGCTGCAGTTCGGCGGACACGCCGGTCATGGATAGTAGCTCCCCTTCATGGTCATAATGTGGTTAATTCACAGTCCTTACTGTGCCGAATCCTCTTCTCCATGTACTTGCTCGAAATAAACGTCACCAATACGCCCGTATCTTGTACTGGCGCTTCGGTCCTGCTTTAGTGCCACCAGGGGCGCGCATTTTGAAAATATTGTGAGGTCCTAGCACCTGTGGATTAGGTCATCTCTGACCCAGATCAGTTGGTCTACTCGTACATGGGTTTTGGTCTTGGTGGTCCTCTGATCCATTCAATGGAGATGTGTTCAAACTCCATCCATTGCTTAGATCGTGTTTTACTTGGAATGCCACCTGTCTGTCCTTTCATCCGTAATCGCCGATGAGTTGAGACTAACCTCCTGACTTCAAACCGCCTGTTAGGGTTGTGTTGCAACTTTCGCCGAACAACCTCGTCGTGCCAGCTGGGCGGTTCGGGAATTTCCCGTTTCGGCGAATGGTTCGACGGCAGGACGTAGTGAGTTTTCACGCGACAAGCGTTCTCCCTATAAAAAAGCCACAAATGTCCGTCTAACAATACTGCGACATGGTGGATGTGACTCACCACTAAATAAAGTCACTGCCCCTTGTCTCCTTTGAAGACATTGTACACCAGCAACCAATCCGAGCATCAGATCTTGTCTCTGACTTCGGAAGTGTTGGGCCTCTGGCATGACTTATCCTCATCCGAAAGGCGTATGAACCGAGTGTCCTGTCACCGGCTCCCAACAGGTGCGATTCCCTCATCTCGTCGTGGTGCCTTGTGGGTTAGGACCTTTGGCTAAAGGCTCGAGGCGGTGGTCCCCTAAGACAACCTACTTACCTCGGCCTAGGCAACCGAGTAGTATCTCGCCTACTGACGAACCATGGACTTACAACTACAACCATTCACACGCTATCTTACTGCTACGATTCGATTCACTCATGTTACTATGCCAACTTCACAAGCACACGCCACCACTTTACTTACCCCTGTGCCATTCACATCCATATTTATCTGATTCTTCTATTGCGATTAACCTCACCCCCACTTATGAACCTGATCCCGTACAATCTTCCAACTCAACCACACAGTGCTCAACAGAGAACTATCACCCCCGAAGTTTCCCATCTTCGCTCCTGCAATCCGGGACGCGGTCCAAACTTGCATCCTTCAACGTACGCACACTATTGCAGGTCGATCAGCAAGCTGGACTTGCGTTCACGTTAGAGATCCTTGGAATCTATGTCTGCTGCCTGAGTGAAACGCGACTCCATCACTCCAACTCGGTCTACCAGCTGGTGTCACCGCTCCACCCACGCGCCCGCTTCCATCTACGCCTCTCTGATGACGCTGAATCTGCCGCATCTGGGCAAGCTAGTGTTGGAATCGCACCAAAGCTGCTCTGACTGATTGGATTCCGACCATTAGTCGCCTTTGTGCGATGAGGCTCCATGGCCCTTGTAAAGTTAGCAGACATCGAGTCAAAAAGCGTGCTCTCTTTGTGATCTATGCCTACGCGTCCACTGACTGTAGCTCGGACACGGTCAAGGACCAGTTCTACCAGAACCTTCATGCTCCTAAGAGCTCCTAAAGCAGACATCATTGTTTTGGCAGAAGACTTCAACGCGCGTGTCGATCGGCTGCTGCCATTTGAGCGCCACCTCGGAGAACCACATGGATATGATGATGTTCGCTCAGACAACTGAGAGAGACTGCTCAGTCTGTGTACTGATCATCAGCTTTTCCTCTCCAACATGAGCTTTCGTCTTCCTGAACGCCTGTACGCCACTTGACGCCCCCCATCACAGATTGACCACGTAGCCATAAGTCGCAGGTGGCTCGGCAGCGTACGCGACTGCCGATCATTTTGGTCAACATGCGTCGATACCGATCATGCATTGGTATGTGCAACCGTTTGCATGGGTTTCCGTGGTTCACCTAGGTCCAAACACCCCCGACTGAACACCTGCAAGTTGAAGGACCCAGTGGTGAAGAAGGTGTATCAACAAAGGCCTCGTGAAAATCTCGCTCCCTCTCCCAATCTGAATGTTGACCAACACTGGTCAAGTCTGCAACAAGCCATACTATCGGCCGCTTTTTCCAGCTGCGGCCGCACTCGCTCCACCCCCAAAAGCTGGATCTCGGGAAGATGTTTGGAATTGCTGGATTGCCGACTGCCGGTGCCTGCTGGCGCAGGGCACAATGAACACCGCCGGTCTATTTATGCAACAGCTGAAAGCATGCCTTCGTTCTGATCGTGAATCATGGTGGTCAAAACGAGCTGATGAGATGGAAGCTGCTGCATCATCTGGCAGCTTCCGCCGTCTATTTTGCATCATCAGGGTCACCGGTCGCAATTCCCACGCTATCAGCCAGACGATTTGCGAATCAGATGGCACAAGGATCACCAACATTCACATGCGATTGAGTCACTGGGAGAGCATTTCGCTCTTCAATTCAACCACCCAACACATCATCATCAACAGCAGTACATCAGCCATTTGAACTGATGCTTCGCTACCATACAACCATGAGGACCTATGAAATAAAGAATAAGAGGGAGAGAAGGGGGACTTACCTGTAAACCTTAATGCCCTAAGCAAACATTCAGGGTCAAGGCGCCTACACCTTGTGTTAACAACATACCGTCACAAACAGCTGGCTATCGTGCAAAGATAAGGCGGCATCGGCGAGACAGCTTCCTTGCGGCTTTCACTGCCACGCGTCATAATCAGCCATTACCCCGCAGATAACTCAGCACCAAACACACTTGAAACAGACAATCCGATTAGGAGACGGCAGCAGACGCGCCACTGGTGTCGGTTGCGAGCCATGTCCTGTAAAGTCTCGAGCCAAGCACAAGGTGAGTCACGTGGACTCCAACCCGGAAGGCGAGACGGACCAACGGCACCCAGTTTGGTCGTCAGTGACTTCATTTCCCGCTGCCAAGTCAACTTCTGTCCACCTCTAGCCTTGCGCCATCCGACACCTGGTAGACTGAACAAGGCCCTCCTAGGTAAGCGGTGACCAGGCATGCGTAGCACGTGCCCGAGCCAACGTAACTTCTTCAGTGCTATCTGTTGTTCTAGGGTGCTAGCATGATCATCACCACCTAGTACTCGCCTACGCACATCATCGTTGCGGACACGCTGGTGCCATCCGACACCAGCAATGCTTCGCAAACAACGATGATCAAAGACTTGAAGGCGCCTCAGATCTTAAGGCCGAAGGGGCCAAGTTTCACTACCATAGAGCAGAACGGCCCTCACTGTGGCCTTGTATACACGGCCTTTCAGACGGAGGGAAACTCCCTTCTGTCGCCAAAGATGACGCAGGTTCAAGAAGGCAGCTCTGGCCTTTGCAATGCGTGAGCTCACGTCAGTTCCTATGCGCCCATCATTGCTGATGCAGCTGCCAAGATAAATGAATTGATCAACCACCTCGAGTTCCTCGTTAGCAAGCGTCAAGGGGTCATAAAGTGGCTGGTGGCCCTGCAGCAACACTTTGCACTTTGAAGGTGCGAAGTGCATACCAAATAATGGGACCACTCTGGATAGGCTATTCAGGGTTGATTGTGCCGCCTCAACATTGTCGAAAAGCAAGACGATATCGTCCGCATAATCTAGATCAACTAACCGTTCACCAGGCAGCACTTCAACACCTACATCGTGAGATTCCGCAAGGGAACACTCCATGATAGAATCCACGACGAAATTGAACAAAAATGGGGAAATCGGGCAACCCTGTCGAACGCCACTTGTAGTCGAAAAGCTATCCGATAGGGCACCATAGACCCTGACGCGGCCTCTAGTGTTCGAGTATAGAGCACGAAGGATGTTCACATATTTCGTGGGAACACCTTTCCGCGCAAGTATTTCGAACAGAATCGATCGATCGACTGAATCGAACGCACTCTTGAAATCGAGGAACACAGCTATTGTCGGTCTGCGGTATGCGTGGCGCTGCTCTAGCACCTGCCGCAAAGTAAATATATGGTCTATACAGCCACGTCCTGGGCGAAAACCGGCCTGCTCTTCTCTAATCCGAGATTCCCGTTCTGCAGTGAGGCGACGAACGATAATCGAGGCCAGTAATTTTGTCACAACTGGCGTTAGGCTAATACCCCTGTGGTTCGCACAGTCTGTGCGACTGCCCTTCTTGTATATTGCCACTATAATCGATTCGCTCCAATTAGCCGGCACACTCTCTTCGTTCCAGATACGTTCGAATAGGGAGGTCAGTGCTTTGCAGAGGACCTCACCACCATCCTTAAATAGTGCAGGTGGTAGGGAATCCGGGCCAGCGGCACGAAAACGATTAAGGGCTGTGATCGCGTTTCGGACTTCGGCCTCCGACGGAGGCTCTAAACTAACCGTCCATGGCTCGTCCTGCATCACCTGAGTAGGAAGAGGTCCGGGAGCAGGGGGCCAGCTGAACTGATGTTCAAAGTGCTCAGCCCAACGAGCCATACGGCGCTCCTTATTGTGTATCAGCGCACCCGCGCTGTCCCTGATTGTCTC